GATAAAGAAACTACTTCCGAAAGTAGTTACTATTACAAACTGTGTAGGACCAGACAGTTAAAGTATAGAAATCCTGTTAATCAATCTACGTTTAGCCATTACCATAATAATCATTAAGCCACTCCAGAGTCCCTTGATTACTAACTTAAGGTTGTACTGATGGAATGAGTGTTACTCAAAGTAATATGTGAAATTGATTTGTTTACGAAAAGGGTTGCTATATCGAAGCGAAGAATAAATGAATGCTAACTGCTAGAAGTTATTTATGGACTATTATTTCATACATTCTTAATGAATAATTATTAAGTGTATATATATATATATATCTTTTTATCATAAGCTTTCGTCTGACCTATTGGCTACAGTCATACTATTTACCATTCTTAATTTATTCCCAAAGTGTTAAATAAGGTCTCCTAGACTTACAGCCATTTTTGGCTTGATCTTGGTATAATAATTAGCTGTCATCTTATGGTGTGATAATGTCTAATCTGTTTGTATGAAAACCATGCGTGTCTAAAATATACGATTAGTATGGTGGGAGCTAATATTTTTGTTCTGAACTGAACGGGCTGGGTTAGGCAAGAAGTTACCATTCAGAAGACCAATAAAAGTTCACACAAACCTGCTAGTGCTGATTAATGTACTATTGGTTTATTGTGGAACAAGGACATAGAAGTCGGTATTCTGATTGTTGATTTGTCACATGATATTTGACAGGGCATAGGAAATAACAGCTTGAGGCTACGTAACTCAAGTCTATATCGTTGTTGTTTAACTATAAGCTACTAACGTATCAGCATTCCCCAATGACTTTGTATCAGTGTCAGAAATATAATGATATGCAGTAGTGGAAATAAAGTATGATTGGTCACAGGGCGGACGCACAGACACTCAGCATAGTGAATACGTGATTTCCTTTCCTCTCATTGATTTGTACTCCGCACTCATTGAGACTGCTTGTAGTTGTATTAAATAAAGATTTATCTCGTTTTAATCTGGTTCTCTATTCTGAGTCGTGAATCCTGAATCTGATATAAAATTACTGGCCTCATTACCATATAACGCAACATCGTAGTATGTACGAAAGAGAAAATACCTTAAACCATCAGTGCTGGGCTGATTTCAAGATAAAGTATCAACCGACAACGATTCTGGACAAGCAGATGCCTTCTCAAGATTAATTGGTCCCCATGCAAATCAAGAAGAGGAGGTGCTTGTAGCTGCCGTAGATGTTGAGGCTGCGTTCCACATAGTACTGGCAGACGCAGTTTCCGGACTTCCGGTCACGTTCGAAGCCATTGAAGAAGCTAGTGAGAAGGGTAATGCGTTGAAGGTTGTTCGCCGATACATACTCAACAAGTGGCTTTCATGTACGCTACATGGCGAGCTCTTACAATATTTTCGACGACGAGATCCTTTGACAGTCGTCGATTCGTGCATCATGTTTGACCACCATCTCGTTATCCCCAGAAATCCTTGACACCAAGTCCTTAAGCAGGTCCATGTCAAATCGTATCAAGGTAATAGGAAATGGGAACCAGGTGTTATAGAATATCGGATCGGAAGTGTGCTGTACCTAATCCAGAGAAATGTTGGTACGTGTATAAGACAAATGAATCCAATTCAAAGGGATGATAGAACACTGATCCTATAAAGCGAATACCGTTTGAATTGCTCGTGGATTCATCTCGAAAAAGTCCTCAGGAGCACGAATGTATAAGAGATAAAAGACACACGGGCAAGGCTGTACAACCTTTGAGAGTGATGGAACGCAAGAGGTATGCGGTAACAAAGTTTCAGGTGGATCCGAAAAAAAGTCTTACACAACAAACTTAAAGAGAAAGTGTAAGGACGGTCCACGGGTGAACTCGAGGAAGCTATAAGCCCAGAAAGAGCCGAAGTTATTTCGTCATCTTTTAGAAGAATATTCCAGAAATCCAACATGTAGCTCCCCAATTGTACGGATATTAACAACCCCTTGTGTGTGGATCGGATAACTTTATTATTATTTATTTAAACACATAAGCATTGGTACAAGGAGGCGCCAAATAGATATACGCCAAACAAATCATTCGATTAATGTGAGGACTGGGTTACTGCCCGGGTGCCCAAACTGAAGCAGGTGGTTTTCGTAGGGGGCCACACCCGAAGCCCTCGACCTGAAAGTCTGATCCACAAGGCAGTGGAGCATCGTAAGGACATGTAGTCCCATGGTAGTCGGTGACCAACGATTGGTTCATACGCCATTTGTTCCTGCAGGATACTTGAGCCCATGTGCACCATTGGTTTGGGCTCCGGTTAAGGCGCCGAACATTCGCTTTTCGTCCTCTCATTTTCGTAAATAACACTCCCGCCACGAGAAGGCAGTGAGTAGTACTTCCCTGGCAGAGGCTGTATACGCGTGGCCATGTGAGAGCATTTCGAGAGGGAGGTAGGGCCCACTCCACTCTCGGCCATACCAGGCATTTAGGGGCGGATTGGATAACTATAATGATGATTACGTTTTTTCTAGAAACGATATATACCTGGCAGTTTTGTACCATAAATGGCACTGTTTAGAATAACATTCCTTTCATTTGTCTTCTCATTTGCGACTTGAGAGGGTTCTAGCGTGCGAGTGCTCAACTTATACGCAACACAGATTCTCACTCATCTGATTTGACTTTGTTTCCAATACAAACATCATAAGAAGGTAACGTATGATCACATCGTTTGTAATAGGTCTTGAGTGCTGTTAGAGGTATGAGGACGGTTATCACTTCCCGGTCGCCCACACCGTGGAGGGGTTCTTCTAGAGGTACCTGAAAAGGAAATTGGATTAGAGGTGGTCTTAGTGACCTGAGAGCGTGACCGCAGAGCCCAAGGGACAACTGCTTGAGGTCGGTCACACACCTTTTTATGGGTAATTTTTGTGTTAACTCCGTGCTTGTTGTGACCTTACCGCCGGAGACGGGTATCCGTGGGATAAGACGAGGTATGCATCTTTAGGGTCGACCATTTCTGGCTCCACCCCTCCTTGTGGGAAGGCAGCATCGCTGTCATGCTGGTTGTCTGAAGGAAACACCTTACTGCTGTCACACCTCTGTACAGTCAGCAGTACGACTTCGCCTTCGGACCTTGGGTTTGTTGCTTTTAGTCTTACCGCTCTTCAGCCGATCTGTCTGACATGGTAGGACCTTGAGTGAGGGTTGTTCCAGCCAGTATAACTCGGTTGCTTCATCAAAATAGGCAAGCCCGACCACCACGTCATGGTAGCAACAACGGTCGGGATCGTTTGTAATGCAGTGTACTGATCTATCACAGCTGAGGCAATACGAGATACTAAAAACCAAAGGAAGATATGATAAAATAAACGAAGTTGTAATTAAATACAAGATCCCGTAGCAGATGGCCTAAATTTTAGAACGAAGTCGTACTGCCAATGACTATAGCATAATGATAGTAAGGTGCTTTATATATGTCGGGATCCTCTTCTACGAGTATCAATCCCAAAAGTAGCATACCTCACCTAGTCCCACTGGTTTCTGTGATGACAGATAAGGGTGAAAAGTACATAGCTAGTACGTCAGCCAACTACGCTTTGTTATGTGAAGTCATGCTCTCAGGTCCCTCAGTAAGAATTATCCTTCCATGGCGTGGGTAATTGAGAAGCAATAATCCCCCCATTACTGTAACAGCTAAAAACTATTAGTCAGATTTATGATATGGATAATAACTACTCACCGAGACCTCACTGCTGTACAATGGTAGTCAGGATCAAAATGATTAAGACTAGAAACACAAAAACCTAAATTAATTTCCAAAGTTTGACGTACAAAATAGTGCTATTAAAGAAATTGAGATCCCATAGTGAGACTAACCAAAAATCTGTGCTTCAAAACATTTTCAGAGGAAATTAGAAATCCAAGACTCCTCGTCGTGACAGCAATGCATGAACCAGCGAAGGAGATCAAATATGTTTGCTGCTACCGTAAGTTCAAATAATAAGCAGAATAAAGCAAGAAATACACTGATATTCCCAGATATATGTAATACCTAGATCATTAAGAAATTTTACTCAATAGATCTAAGATGTTCCTCATATTTCATAATGACGACCATTTAGTAAAATTATTTTGATAACTAATTTTTTTGTTTAGGATTCAAAAATATGTAATCAAGGAAAACTGCAGCTTCACTAGCATCCGAAAGAACGGATCTTAGACGCTGCAGTAAGAAATACAGCGTTTTTATATTCGCTCAGTAGAATTCGAAAAACTTCACTGTTCATATATTACATCAACAAACTAACCAGCACTCAATATTCTATTTATTTGAACACATAAATATTGTAATCTTATTAGTTCAGATCATGAGTCAATTGAAGCTAGACCATCATGGAAAGCCCGGAAACACTGGACGGCCGTTTCTTCCTATTGTGGGATGCCTCAGCAGTGCACATCCACGATGCCGCCTCGCAAGATTCAAACCAAAATATTGGTGCAAAGGAACACCGAATACATATGCGCCACACAAGTCACATGATTTGTGTGTGGGCTATGATACTGCCTCGGTGCCCAGACCGAAGCAAATGGTTTTCTTAGGTGACGCCTGGAGCAACGTCAGGAGATGCAGTCTCGTAATAGTCGGCGTCCAATAATTGGTTCATACGCCATTTGTTTCCTCAGGATACTGGAGCCCATGTCCACCATCGGTTTAGAATCAGGGTTTTCCGATAGCCCTAGGTGAACCCTCCGCATCCACCAATTCGGTTGGAGCGCCAGACCTTCGCTTTCGTCCTCTCAATTCCGTGAACAACACCCCACCGCGAGAAGGCAGTGAGTAGGATTTCCCTGGTAGTGGCTGTACACGCGTGGCCACGTGAGAGTATTTTGAGAGGGAGAGGTGACTCTCCCCCACCCTCGGTCGTACAAAGGCATTTGGTGGCAAGGATTCAATAAATTAAAACAGAACGCGCGCCATAGATTGTAGGAAATATGATGTTCACAACGCAAATTGCTAGTAACGTAAACCATGTATTTGTAAATATTGCTGATAACTAACACTCCGAAATTAGAACATTGAATAAAGAAAACTGATAAAGAAAATAATCCATCAAGTTAAATCATCCGGAAGTAAACATATATTTTAAAGCTTTCTATACGAAAAATGAGTCGATTGCAGAGAAAAAACTGATGCTCGACATAAATATCAACTTAGATTATACAAATTGATATACGGTAAAATTGAGTAAAAAGATTATGTCCATAGCTTTCTGTATTCTCAGAATACATAAAAATTAATTGATTATTCATTTTATTTGCGTGTTAATTCATACACAGCTAGTACACAAATAATAGGGAAAGCATATATTGTCTTTGGAATATTCCATAAATTAAAATGGGTGAAAAATAGTTTGGTTTCGTAAAGGAGTAATCATCAATTTGAAACCTGTATTATTTGAGAAAGACATGAATAAATGAACTTTATTTGGCTGGTTCCAGTACATAGCGGATATATGGCACATCAACATCTTTATCATGCTCATCACTGCAACAGACATCAAATACCAGTACTTTAACATGGGGAGGTATTTTGCGTTTGTTGACTACTTCCACCAGATCTTTTAATCTGAAAAAAATACACATTTAAGCAATAGAAAACTGGATAATCATTCTATGGGACTTTGATATTTTCTAATCACTTAGCATTAAAGTAAAAGTGAAAGAGAATTCAGTGATCACCCCATAAACTAGCGGCATGGGCTCCTTGTATGTTACTCCAAGATTTACGATGTAATTATATTGATTTGAAATGAAAACATTCAAAGAAATGATAGACATGGTTCATGTTTAATATACAAAAATACTGCGAAACACATAACTTTAGAGAAGTTAATCACACTAATAATAACACCTGATTGAGTATTATAAAAATCTTGAGCTCCTAACCAATGCTTTCATGATATTGTACGTATCCGTCAGTCAGTTAGTCGGCTACAACAACGTAGGATCGGGAACACATGTACATCGGTTAGTCTCCATAATATTATATGTATTAGTCAAATAGGTTTTGAGTGAACAGAAAGAAAAGAAAATACAATTTGTGAAACATATGGAAATATACAGAGAGAATATATTTGCGAAATGTTGGCTGGTTCGAAATGATTGTCCTTGATAGACAGGAACAACAATTGAACTAAAAACTAAATTGCTTCATTCTATTTCATGGTTGTAAATGTGATTCTTAGAAAAGGATATTTATAGGTTACTAATATTCAACTAAATGTGTCTTCAAACAATCGTTCGTATATTTTGAAGACTACGAGATAGCAATTCTAGGGTTATACCCATAGTACGAGGTAATGATGGTTAATGGATAGATAATATAGCGAATATACATCTACTGAGATGGTGAAAACATGTGTTCCGTATCCTCATCCACCAACTACCTCGATGAGCGATAACGGATGGCGTAGTAGTCTAGAAGCTAGCGGAGTTCGAGCCAAGACTTGGGTATCAGTCCATGAAGATAATGACTGTTCGACTGGCTAATATAGGTAAATGTAGACTACTTGGTTGAGGTAGGCTTGATCATCGTAAACAATGGTTGGCTTTCAAGTGATAGTGTTCTAAATCGTTTCCAATGACGCAAGTACATTCACTCCTTGTCTTGTCTTAGTTCTTAAGTTTCTAGATTACCCTATAAAATTATCCCACTAATCTATAATTATTTACTGAATTGTAACTTCGACAGCTAATCCTTTAAACTACCATTATTACGGTCAATAATTCTACTAGTCTATGGTTTGTTCTAACGATTTTGTCTTGCTGTGCTAATAGTGCATGGCAACTTGAACCGATATACAAATATGCCAGGTTCTGCGCTGATTATGACTGACTGACGAATAAGCAAACCTTTCTAATAACCCGATCCTTTTAATCTAGGAATATGACGAAAATAGGATGTATTTCTGAACTACCATATTTTACTCCTTAACTATTACACTTTGTCATTAAAAAGTACCAATCCAGCTCAGATGTATCCGGACCTAACACTTCATTTACACATGGTAACTGTGGCTGAGAACCAACACACAACAAGTATTTAATACATACATTTTCTAAAACCATTTTGACAACTACCAAGCTGTTGAAATTTCAGTGCAATAATTGCATGCAAAATAAAATTCAAATTTATGTTTTTAGTGATGTTGATTAAATGTGAAGAAATTCGAGTACTTCGCTTCCATCGGAATTATTTACTGATGTTATCCAGAAGGACAACGAAAGCTCCAGAACTAAACCATCCATATTAGAGAACGAAACTCTACTGAGATCATCCATCTGAGCTCAAATCTTTCCCAACATTTCAATCTAAATTCTTGTTTCCGACAACTAAGTAGTGTCCAATAAACAACAATGGTACTCCATACTCTCTGAGAAACACATGTAACGAAAACAACACCCACCACATCAAAAATTGTTTTGTCACCAACTAATCTACAACTAACCGATTTGATATTGTATTTAGTGGCAAATTAATCTCATAAATTTGAACCATTTAATCTACATATATTGGTTATTTGAATCTTCCCATTGACGTTTTGGACTGTAGTTGACCAGCCTCTTTGGGTATATCTGCCTAGATATTGCAACTAAGTCAAAAGCATTTTCTCGGGGGGAGATGGGTGGTGGCTAGCAGTTCTATTCCATTGACGGCTACCATCACTATCCATCTCTGCTCAAAAAATGCTTTCGAACTATTTAATTCAAAAAAGATATACATCGTTGGTCAACTGTCACCTAAATACTATGCGGTTATCTATGGTATCCGTAAAATATGAAACAAAACTATAAAATGAACTTACGACATAACTAGACGTTCCTTACGCTTTGCTTCTGGCATGAAGAATGCATAGAGCATAGAAACATCTTGCGATAGCATTGTTACATTTAACTTCAAACTATCCTAAAATAACGAGAGTGAATTAGTTTGGATATGAAGAAGCAGGCTTACTTTGAAGTAATCAATTAGACCTTGCAAGGTCATAGGGCCTGTAAGTTCGAACCGATCCCATAAAGAAAATTCTGTATCGTAGTATTTTGACTTGATAGGTGCTACAGGTTCATAAAATGAAGTAAAGGGCAACGCTAAATCGACGTAAGCATTTTTGAACAGTTCGAGCTTTTTGTGTCCTTGAACAAGCTAAAAGTAACATGAAAAATGAAGTGAACAAATAGTTACAACTAGTAAGGATTTCACAACATAGTGTAAGGAAACGACTCTCAAGTGCAAAAAACTTAAACATGGAAATATTGTTACAGTATGTCGATAACTAACAAGTAACTCTGTTAGCTACTCTGTTTCATATTATCCCGTAAAGAAGAATGTTTCTGCAACTAAAAGACAACAATTACAGATTATATCATTTGATAAATATACAAGACAGCTTTTAGCAAATCACTTGACAATCTACAACTTATCACCGTCTGTCGATAACACTGGCCATAAAGAAACAAAATCAAATCACTTAAATACAGAAAAGTACAATTATGGTGAAATATAATTACAAACCTTAAGTAGTTCTAGGCATACCAGCCCAGCCACCAAACTAGTTGTAGTTGCAATTGCAGGGATAATTTTACCAGCAATTAATTTACTTTTTAGTCGGTCAGCTGGAGGGATTTCATAATTCTCGGCCCTTAAATTGCTTGCTGTGGTGATGAAGTCCATATGAAAATTTGTATCATCATCTTTCTCAAATTCAATTACGTTGATATGCAATGTTGAAGTGTTGCCTTTGTAGTAAAAATGAAACCAAAACGACAAACATGAAATCACAGCGAACACAAAAATATTAGGCTATTCAACAGTTTCTTAAAAACAAAACACCCTAGTGCCAGTGTAGCGTCATTTTGTAACGCCTTTAACTTAAAAAGAAGGACTTATAGTTTAGAAAAATTATCTAGTCATCTAATAAACATCCAACTTATTAATTAGTCGGTCACATTAGTGAAGTCAATTTGTACTTCAAAAAAACGATATCTGATAAATTGAATACACCTAGATTTTCCGTGGTAAGACCACACTGAAGAAATGATTGTAAACAAATATTGTGTAGAGACGTAATCAACTAAGACTTGGAGTTCGTGACTATTGAAAACATCATCGACATAACCCAATAAATCTTTTGACATTAGTTGAAGCGCTTGTATACTTCTTAGGGTTAAATATATAGAACGAAAATATTGGTGTAAAATCTCACATTAAAATTTACACATTCGAGTTGCCACAATTTTTAACAGAGTAAATAATGGAAGGATATTTGAATAACAAAGGGTATAAGAAAGGGCAAAGCAAATAAGAAAATGTCAATGTAGAATTGGAACACCTACGCTTATGCTAACTATTTTGGACCATATCGCCAAACGCATCAAATCACTTTTTTATTGAGCTAGAAATGGGACGCATTCAAAATATAAAATGGTTAAAGTTAGACTGGTTAAGTATTTAGAAAAAAACACCTGTATTTCACAATATGTAAAAAAATAAATACTGGAGAATCAATTCTCTGAAAGTATGCACCGATATAATAGGAAAACAAAAATAGGTACTTTTCGTAGCTGGCACATAGTGAAGCACTTACTGAAGCTACGTAAAGCTTTCTGAAGTTTTTCAAGTCGAGATGTATCAGTCATAGGTGCAGCTGACCTTGCTTGAGCCTCTGCCTCGGTTACATCAATCCGTACGCCTGATCGAGGAACAAACGGAGGGACAACTACACTTTGAACAATTTCGGAAATCTTGGACAGGTTTCGACATTGAGGGATACCATAGCATTCAGCGCGAAGGTTTGAAGCCGCCGAAATAAACTCCAAATGTGTTGTCTGTAATTAAAATATCAAATATGCAATTCGAGTTTTTACGAACTGTGGGTCTTTATGGTGAAATTGGTTAAAAAAGTTTGAGGTTCAAACTGCACCCAAAATATCGAAAACTCAGCTGTTCGTGAACTTCGAAAACAGTGTAACGTAATGTAACTTAGCAACCTTGTACATTATTAGACGTAAAGTTATCGCCTAACCGCATTTTGAGGGTATTATTGACATTACTTAACCATCTAGAAGATTGATAAACAATAATGAATTTGTCTGGTCTAAATGTTATAGACAGAAGTTATTCTGCATATGTTGCTATAAAACAACGTAGTCTAAACGGCTTTTATTTAGTTGTGGGATAAACAAGCATTTTGTTTAATGTTTCCGTTGATTAGCATTTCGAATTCCACACTGAAAACTGTAGCTATCACACATACCAACTAACAGAAGTCTTTCGAAAATTCGTATACATTTTTGGCACATCATCAGCGACCCATGCTCAAACGGTCGTGTTCGTTTTTAAGCCGCATGTAGTATGAGAAGCAATTATTCACCAGCTAAGCTTTTCAAACACTAATCATAGATACATGGAATAGCATTAAGATACAAGTGGAGATGACAGATAATTGGTTGAGAAAAATTTTCTAACCCTAGAATAAACGATTACTAGAAATTCGGTGATAACAATGAGTAACCGGAAATAAACGAAAAAAGTCATTTGTGAAATGAATTGATGTATGCTTTTTTCATTATGTACAGTAGTGTTTCCGAACTTGAGTAAAAACAAATTTAATTTGGACAAACTCAAAAGAAAAACTCACATCTTCTACATCAAACTGCAATGGATGAGGGCATCGTTTGGTTCCTGACCAAAAATCAGAACCAGTTGAAGTGACATGGTCACGAGGGAAATTGAACAAAAGTTGTGCGATTGTGTTTGAAAACAAATCCTAAAAGAAAACTCACTTTAAACATATCTATCAAATAACAAAATTTTATTCACTAGTTAATTGTAGAATATTGAATAGCCAACGGCTTCAAGCGCTCTAGTATATTTACTCTATGTATTAAAAGAATCGTAAGGCTGAGATTTTACACTGTGATGGACTTAAATTGTATCGAGTACAGATTAGTATACTCTAGAGGAAGTTGAACAAACCTAGTGTTTATCCGAACGATATGAATACTTCAAAGGAATATAATAAAAATAAATGATTTATGAACCCATACTTGTAGTGAAGATAGAACCACCTTAGCTGAAGATTTTAACTGTAATGATAAGATGGGTCGTTATGTCAAATTGTACAAAAATGTAGGTCTTAAACAAAATGCAAGCAGAGTTGAAATGGTGAAGATTTATAGCCCAGACGAATGATTTTGGTGGGGTTTCGTTCTCTTAACTGGATGGTTTGGTCGACATGAAGTTTGTGCTGATGTTGTTTAAAAGAACGCTGACCTTCGCAACCAAACCATCCAGGTCAGGAAATGAAATTCCACCAAATGCAAGTAAAGTTCCCAATCATCCACTAGCTAAACTACTACAAAAACCTTAATCAAATAATTAGTTACCCCCTAGTGTGGTATACACGATTCCATTGACTTGTTGTAGAGAGCTCTTACCTCGATGAACAGCACTCTCCTTAAGTAGCTGTTTTAGATATTTCTAAAATCATGGTAAGTGTTTCAAATTGGAGCCTGAAAAAGTAATGCGAACAAAACACCAGGCATGTATGTTTGTTACTTCGGAAAAGACAGCCATTGAAATCGAAACGCTCAAGACTTTTATTCAGCAACCACGTGAGAAATATTGAAAATGAATTCCTTAACAAGCAAATGATTTAAAGGCATTGTACTGATGTTTCACATTTCTGGCTTATTTGTCATATTAACCAACAAATCGGAAATACCTCTTGAGGAAATTACTGTGTACTACTAGGGCAGCAGAAATATAACTTACAAAATTAAGAAAATTGGAACGGTGGAAACCACAACTAGATAGGTCAAGCTGGACCTAATTTAATCCACAATTAGTCACAGAGTCATTGAGATCATTAGTATAGGTGGAATAATGAAGTTATGAGGTACGACAAGCAAACAAGTACGATGAGTGAAAATTTGATAAAGACATATCAGATTTTCGCACTTACCTGCCAGAGTAATCTAGCCCAAGTGACACAATCTTCGAAACTACTTGGTCTTTTGTCTAATAAATTTGTTTTCAAAGTTTCTAGTGTTTCCAAAGGTTGATTTCCTTGATTTGATAATGTTCGTTCTAAAAAGCCAGGTGGATCCTAAAAGGTGAAGAAATAAGGACAGGATTGTTTTATATTAATCTAATCAAGGTAAAAACTCAAAAATCTGAGATTAGCAGGTACAAGACTTTAATTATTGTTCCAAACAATATTTTTTCCAGTTTATATATTGATTGCATGCAGAACGTAGCAAAAACCTGGTGTGAAAATAACATGACTGGAACAGATCTAGTTTATTTTCATGGTTAGTGTATTACTATTACTCCTATAGATGTACTCATTTTCAGATTAAAGGAAATAATTTCTTACATTATTCAAATCCTCTTTGGTTACTATGTTTTTATGTGTTCTGAATAAGAAGAATATAAAAACTGAAGAGCACAGCAAACTTACAAACTGTCTGGTTCATAATTAGTAATTATATTATTCAGTTGATCAGTTTACGGTGGATGAAGCAGATTTAAACTAGATGGATAATCATTTATCAAGGCCATTAAAGGACCTATGCACGTAGAAAATGTGAATCCACAAATGACTGATATTAGATGTCACAATCCCAATATAGCGCAGTTGTTTCTTGAAAATCAAATTGATATTCAAGTACTAACTCGTCAACACAAACTATCACATGATACATGTGACAAATACTCAGACATCACACTGTATCCTAACACAAAGAAACTTTCGACTCCATTGATTTCGAGAAACAAATTCTAGTAAAACAGGCCAATAAAAAGTGCGTTACGTGAATGAAGTGAGAAAGATGTGAAGAAATAAATTCGAGAAGGGCAGTACAATCAATAGCTAACCAAGAACAAGATTTAGTCAGAAATATTGCTCAGTTGAAAACCAAGATTGAGAAACTTCACTTAGTGAAGAGAATCCTAATTTTTTAGGAATATAATAAAAAACCACAACCGGATGCCCATTAGCTTATATTGTGAAATATATTAGACGTCTTACGGTACATGACTTTTAAGGGACGACCCAGTGGTGATAGGTCTAAATTCCACTCTAATGCAGCAATTTTTATTAACAAAACGCTATTTCATGAAATGAAACCCTGTCTTCATCACCCAGCTCCACATATGACAAGTGATGCACAATATGGAAGTAATTGGGATAATATTCTTAAACCATGAACACGCTGTCGAAGTCGGTGTTTCAGCATACTTGTATCAATTGAACTAGCGTCAATGCTTTTAAATATACACTTGGAGATCTCATTATGAGTGACATGGTTACCAACGCAAGTGAGTAGCCCTCTGGAGATAAAAATGATCGAACATAGCTGCCGAACATCCTCAACTCGGAGAGGCTGTCTCACAACCACAGAAAATAACCGTCCTTGTCAACGCACTGGGCACAACCATTTACCGTTAGGATAACACCAGGACAGCGCCAACGTTTGTCCACAGTGAAATAAGGTGCTCTGGATCCCACTTTACGTAGGTTGGTCCGATTTTTCACTCCACTACAAGCACCAAAACAACTACTCAGACCCATGAACTCGATTATCTCTAATGGTTCACCATCAAGAGTGGGTTCAGGCCTTTTATGATATCATCTGTCCCAAGTTTCTTTCCTGTTTCATCAAATAAGTAATATATTGTTTTCTAAACAGTATTAAACACCCAGATCTGAATAGCAACTTTATCAGCTTACCAGTCACGTAAAAAATGTAGTTCCTATGGGTTCAGTTCACACTAAACGAGTCATAGGTTAATTGGTTAAATTGAAGGACCATAACAAATGGAACTTATATGAATAGGATTTCGCCACACAAAATTTAACCAGTATGAAATATAAACAAATATATGTCATCATGAGTTGAACGAAAGTACTAGGACTTATAGATCAAGACATTTTTGATGACAAGTGTTCCCAGTATTTAGCAAACGTAATGAATAACTAACCTGTAAAAACGAACTCATTGCTTGTGACTGGTGGACGAAAAGTCCTTCAAACAGATCGCGTGCCCACTGGAGGGTATGTTCAATCAGATAAGGGAAGTTTTTCAGAGTGCACGCAGGGAATGATTTTTCTGGAGGGTCCTGTAAAACGAGAAACAAACACTGGGAGTCACACACCGAGAACCTCTTTCATTTTAACATTAACAAAGTAAGACCACTACCAAGAATTCAAGACTAACTGAAAAGTAAAGTGAGTTCACTAACAGCTATTCTCGACTTGACTATTTTCTACTTGCATATATCTGGTAAGTTTCTAAATTTGTATAACGCCAATATCAGTGTTAAAAGTATCCTGATGATTCATTGTACCAACTTTCAAGATTAACTATTCAGGTTAATTAAAGGATGAACGATAAATAAACCCAAGCTTAAGAAAGATGAAGGATTTCTTATACCTAATCAGTCTAATGTAAAACTAGCTTCTTCAAAATTTGTTCTACAATAGCACAAATTTTAGAAGCACAACCTCAGAAACTTGTTGCTAGACTTCGAACTTTATTGACAATTGTTATAGCATGTGGTCTTGTGCACTATTAATATATAACGTAATGATACTGCCAATTGAAGAACGGCGATTTATCGACCGGACCAATGACGAGTAAACCTATACGAGCAGTCTAGAGTGTTTATCAGTCCTTCTCCCTGTCCATCCCTGCCTGTTAGAGTCCAGAACATTAACCTCAACCTCTGCGATATGAATCATGTATTTCAAACATACTGGGTTTATATACAAATCAAGCAGACCACATCGTACCACAAAATGGAAAACAATATTTGTACAAGATCTAGCCAAAAGTGGCTGCAAATGTGGAAGACTTTAATTAATAGACTGGGCATAACTCCAGAACGGTAAATAGGATAATAATAATAATAATAATAATAATAATAATAGTCAAAATAACGCTTATAATAAGAGGAACATGAATATGCATAGCTTAGCTGTTTAACAGTTATACAATAAAAATATATGTATCTTATTGGTCCATAAGTAGTTCTTAAGTCTACCATTCGTAATTCTCGTTGGGATATAACAAAAATTAAATGGATTACTTATATACATCCTTTATAATCGATCTTACGAAGCTAGTCTCAAAATAGACCTCTACATAATATCAAGTCACTCAGCAGTAATAATATTAGCAATGTAACTTATTTATCGATACAAGTTAGTTTGATCAGTATTGAAATACAAGAGCTGGTTATACTAATCAGCTGTTCAAATCGAAGTAGATACTTCAGGATCTCAATAAGTGACCTTATGTTTTAAATTCAAGTACTTAAGCTACCGCTTTATTATTAGTAGACATACAGCATATATTTTGATCAGAAGTACAGATTACTGCTTTAACGTTAATTGACTATTTAGATGTTTCATAAAAAGTTATAACTGTTTAGCTTACTTGTGAAGATGAGTAAGATTCTGTCAAATAAGGGATAACAACCTGTACATTACCCTTAGTTCCCAGGGTTCCGGATTCTAAAAGAGGTTTGCGATAATAAACACAACGACGATCAACATAAGTGCGGGCCTCAACGTTGTCTAACGCATTAGCAATTCCATCCAATTTCTCGAAGAATTCGTCGTCATATATTTTCTCCGTCTCCGGTCCAACACGATTCTCATGAGCTTCAATATTAAGCTAGAATAAAATAAATACGCGTCATCATTAATTCGTATACATCACAACCCTGACGTTCAAAAAATTATCAAATGGATAAGCCAACCGTAGAAAACTTTGCATGGGTCTATATCGTGATAAATATAACATGCTTCTACAGTACTATATTAGGAAATATAAAAATAACGGAAATGACAAGCGATTCCCATTTGTTTAAGATTAAAATATTTCTAAACAGTAGCTGATTAAAACAGATCAAAAAAGTCCTAGGAACTTTCCGACGGACCTTGAAGAGTTGTCTAGTTAGTTACGATGCCAGTACTGATTATAGCTCCTAACAGTAGCATACAGAGTCAACGTAAGATTCGGCAGGGACATGAAGTGCGATATATCATAATTTACATAGACACAATTAAAGAGATCCTCAGTAATGGCGCCAAGATTTCATCAGCTATTAAGACATTAAGGTAAATGAGATTTCGGTGACAAGCATTTTTCAGACCCGTTTTTTGCTTTCGTTAAACCCTATTCAACTTTTCGGAGTTGAACTAATGACGACACTCAGTCATGTAGTCTGTCGGTGGATATTATTTAATTAAACACATTTTTACGAATGAGGGACCAAAATATACATGTGCTACACAAATCATTGAATTTGTGGCCTGGGATACTGCCCGAATACCCGAACCGAAACAGGTAGATTTCTTAAGGGACCACTCCTCGACTCCTTAACCCAGAGGTCACATCCACGGTGTACTGAAGCAATGTCAGGAGATGCAATTCCATAGTAGCCAGTGACAAACAACAGTTTCATACGACATTTGTTCTTTCAGGATCCTGAAGCCCAAGTGCACCATTGGTTTGGAATCACGGTTTTCCAACTCCCATAGGTGGATGCACAGTACCGACTAACCCGGTCTGAGCACCGGATATCCACTTTATGTCTCCTCGATTCCGCATACAAAATCCCCGCCACAAGGAAACAGTGACTGTAAGAGCGATTCGGGAGAGCAAACTCTCCCCACCCTTTATATTGGGTAGCTGAAAGTGAATCACACAATTTTTCTCATCCCCCGGTTATTTCCACCCTTTTCTTTCCATCTTTTTTTATTTTTCAACACAGCATGGTGAATCAGTCTTTTACAGAAACTTCGGGTCTCGTGGTGGTCTGAGTTAGTACCTAATTTGGTAACAAAATAGTGGTGTGTGCTATACGTTTCATTCCTCGAAGTAACTTACTCCCTATGATATTTTATTCTTAATTATTTAAAAATTCTTATATTTATCAAAATAAGGACTGTATATGGGTAGGGCGAATAATATTCTTTACAGTAAATTTTTACTAGAGTCTACAGTCACAAATCTAAATTCATGTCACAAAAGCGATAGGCAGGTTCAAGGCAAATAAGCTTTTTCCCAAATTACAGCATAAGAAACTGGGATTGTTAGTAAAATAAAATAAACTTGTTAGTTTAAGTCACAGACTGGTTTCAGTGCGATCGACATTGGGAACTAGGAGGGATTGGACAGTTCAATGGTTTAGAGGGTGAGTTTTCACATGAGGCCGACCCTATATTTGATCCTCCGTGGCAGGGTCATGCATGCACATTGTGTACGAGTACCACAATAAGACGAAACAGTTGTTCAAAGTCTCTTGAACTCAATGGTGGCTTAACTAAGATCAGTTCGTGGTTTGTTCTATGGAAATTCTACAATCTCTACAAAACCCCTACATAAAACACGTTAGCGTTGAAATGACTGGTCAGTCAATCAGTCACAATGTAGAACCTACACGTATGTACATCGGTTCAAGCTGCCATACCTCATTAGCACAGAGATGAAATTGTCAGGCAAACTCCCAGAATAGTGGAGGTAGTAACAGTCAGTTGTAGTATATTATGCATCGAAGATACGATTCGAGAGGAAAATATATATCGGTGAAATTAAAAGTTATGGAGGACTTTAGAACCTCAGAACTTGAGGGAAGACAAAGAACGGGTGCACCTGCACCACTGCAAATGATTTCGAGCAATTTCATTCAAAATCTCTAACCAGTGGTTATGATAGATACCCGGACCCTTAACAGATAGTCTATGCCTATTAACATGGCCAAATCCAATTGTCAGTAACTTCATGAACTGATGTCATGTTGTAGTTTGGTCACTTCTAGCTTCCTTCCAGCCTACTTCAACACCAGAAAATAACCCCTATCGAGATAGGCGGTGGTTCAGCATACATAACACACGTCCCAACTACCTTGGTTGATGAAGATTCACTACCTCTAATTGATTTCTCATCATTACCTAATACCTTATTCCTAATACAAGCATTGCTTACTTTGTGGTTCAAAAACACACGTACAATGCTTTCAAGACATCTCTGATTTAATAATCGAATACCAGTAACCTACGAATATCCTCTATTCTTAATCACCATATTTCACATCCGCAAAGTAGAATGGAGCGAACCGCTGCACAGTAAGCTCGTCCCTTGGTTGTTCCTGAACGTGGTCAAAAGACTACATTTTGTCAGCGTCTTCACCGAACACAACTACATCATCTGTGTATTCAAAGTCATTAAGTGAATCTACTCGTAAAACATCAACCTGCGAAAAGTTAGACGATGAAAGTGTTATCTCTGAAAACATGTCTATGAAAAAGTTAAATAAAAATAGGGAAAATAGACAACCCTAACGCACACCACCTGAAGTAGCCAATTTCGATGACAGTTTGCCATAAGCTCTGACTCGACCAGTAGTGTTCGAGTAGAGAGCCTGTACAAGGTTAATGTACTTCTCTGAAACGCCTGTCAATGACAGACTGTTGTATGTTTACTACACCACATATGCTTTCGAAACCTTGCCAGCATCTGCTGGGATCACCGTGTAAGTAATGGCGAAGTTAGCCGCGTGGTATTAGGGAAGGATGGTGAATCAGTTGATGAGGTTGTGAATCCTCATTGACTGTCATGGTTGGGCCGTGTTACGTATACCTGATTAACGATCATCACGACGCGCAGTGCTTACTAGTGTTGGAAACGGTTGGAAGAAGGTTAGGGGTGGCCAAACCAAGACGTGGCATCAGTCGTTGTAGTCACTAACTTCTAGGTATGTTGGTAGGTGGAGATTACTCGGTTGGGGTCCGCGTCAGTGGCTAGACTCTGGGTGACATGGCTCAGAATCGATCACAATGGCGTAGGCGTATATACTATATCTTCCCTTAAAGTATGAGATTAAAGTCGCTTCACATCTTTCTACGAGCTAATTCTTTCTTACTGCACTATATACTTACATAAAATCTTTTACATATTACAATCATTGCGTTAACTGCTATGAATCCGGTTTTCATTTTTCTGTGCTTATGAGGTATGGCAACTTGGACCGATGCATATATGTGCCTGGTCCTATGTTGTGGCTGACTGACTGTATGTTTACCACGAAACATTCAGCCAGATATCCCAAACGTAAATTCTGAGATTAAAACATTCCTGTTTTGTACCCGACAGAATAGCGAGTCTTTCATAAAATCAGAGTGACATTTATGGTAACTGAACATCACATTTCGAATTGTGATGCTGTTTTAGTTAATTTAATCATAATTTTAATATTCATAAGATATTTTTACTAAAATGCTTTAACTTGTAACCCATCAAGGCTTTAATGCGATGGAAACTCAAGTACTAAATGATTCACATCTCATGTGATATATGACGGGCAGTAAGTCATTATAAGAATATTATGGTGGAAAGCTAATTACTGCGTTATAAAAGTCAAACGATACGACCAACCTCTGGATTTATCAATTTAGCAGCGGCTGATGCCACGACTGACTTCATTTTATGGATATCCCATGGACGAAACAGGAACTGTCTGTTCAGGTTTGATCTTTCGATGAGATCCATGTCCGTCACAACAATTTTTCCAGACGGTCCTGCACCAACACCCATCAACGAGAAGTTTTTTAGCAGCTCGCATCCAATTGCACCTGAACCAACCTGTAAACATAGTTATATGAAGTAAGTAAAGCTTACAATAAAATACTTCAATCCTTTCAGCTTCTCTTGAAACGCACGTCCGAATATGGCAATCTGACCATCATACCGAGATCCAATTGGCTTTGCATCATTCTCTGAGACTACGAAATCTTCATCTGAACTCATCGAGAGGCACTCAGTTGCATCGAAATACATCCACTGTTGTAGCGGCGTGAACTTACCGCTGCAAGCCTTCATAACTTCTTGGGCAGCGAAACTCCCTATAAAAGACTATATAAATTAAATTAAACCAAACTAATGGCATACCAAGACGGGGGAACATTGACCTGAACAAACGAATCCAAAGAGCATAGCTAGTTTTTCATCGATTGATGAGACTGAAGCGTTTGTGTTTTCCATTTGTCTATTGACTTTGTGGACATAGTCCACAAAAGTACGGGAATCAGTCCTGCACCAAGGTTTAGGAAGAGATCCGTTGCTATTCTTATAATCACTGAGGGCCTTGAAGAAGAGATGAATTTGTGCGGGACGCTCAGTTTTAACGAAATCTGTCGTCATGAAAACTGGTGAATAATAAGCTGTCCGATAAGGTAGCTGCAAAGAAATAGTACTAAGATATATGAGACTTACAAAGTTGATTTTTAATGGCATTTTAACAAGAGTACACATCCCACCAGATATGTATGGACTAAAATTAGACGTGTCACCAATGGAAAATACATCAGGTCCTAGAAAATTAAATCATATGCAGAAACGATACTTACCAACAACTGTTACTCTTCGGGGTTGACAACCGTTTAACTCCACCATCCCTTTGACTTCAGAAAAAGTTACATAGTCACCGTCCTGAAACCCATGACGAGTCTCCTCCAAACAAGTTACAAGTCCTTGTTTGCTCTAGACAATAATTTCATGAGAAAACACTTTACCTTCTCTATTTGCTGAATCATGACTGAAGATGGAACTTCACCAGTTGGGTCATACACTACAAAATCTGTCCCAAAGTCACAAAACACTTTGCCAAAAAGTCCGCATGTTGAAGCAACGACGAATTTGACACCTAAACTCCGACAAATGTCTCCATACTCCACACATAGGTCCTCAGATCCCTGGTTCAGCACCACTACACTAAACTTCCTAAAGTCTTCAGCACCAAGTTTATGTTTGTTTAACACGCGGACAGACACATGATTATTCAACTCGCTTAACTTATTCTTACAAATTTCAGCACGTGGATGACCTATGTCATTAAGGTCCGCAAAGTAGTGAGATGTGAGGTCAGCTATACATAATGGAGTGTCATCACACAACGTTACAGATTTAACTCCAGCTAGGATGATATTTTTAGCGACCTCGAGCCCAAGTCCTTCCAGGCCAATAACTAGAATGTCTGTTGTTGCCATTCGGCGCATGCCTTCAGCCCCGTAGACATAAAGCTGCCGACTATAAAGACTTTCGTCCAAATCAGGAACTTCTCCGTTAGCTTCCATCCCCTGTAAAAGAATTATATTATTCTAGCTTACAACTTACGTTTGACAAGTTGTTGCTGGTATTTGAATGAAAATTGTTATTGTTGTTTTCTGTAGAGGTCAGTATTTTTTGTCGTTTGGATGGAGGAGTTGGAGACATCTAAACACCAGAAATGTCATTCAGGCCTTACAAGACTTAGGGTACCAAATCAAGTAGCGAAACATCCAAGCTTAGTCAAACACAAGTATTGTACGTATGACGTGAAAAGTATGTTACATAAAAAGTCTCGTATTGCAATATAGGATGAGATTGATTACCTATGAATTGCTTTATATATGTAAATTTAACAAATACATACTCAAAGGTCTGTTAAAACACCGTTCACGTATCGTCTTATTAAACAATCATTGTGACAAATCGCGAAGTGTACAAGTTGTACGAATATCAGAAACCTAGCCTCCAAATATCATTTCTGGACCTTCAACTTAAAATATGAATACACTTGTAAGGTTGGTGGGCTGTAGCGATATATAAATCTTCGATATAAGTAGTTTCGTAAGTCTCGGAGACTGATTCTGGCCTCATTAGCCTTAATAGACACACTCTTGTCAAGATTTTTCGGTCAAGCATCCACACCACCACTGGGTACGCTGTGCTACACACCCTTCGAGACTGGTCAATAGAGGTCATATAGTTCTGGGCATATCGAGTAACTTCCAAACGCACCTTCTGACTCCTTCAATACCGGCCTCTGGTCTGATTGTCTCTGAGGTCTTACGATCATAAGGGTTCTACGAAAACAGCGTTGTCAAACACTGAATATCCCTGATATCCCTTGTCCGTTTCGAGGGAAAACGTCCCTCCTTACCAGATCATGCTTGTGGAAAGTATGAATTTAAGATTTTGAAAAAATTGAGCTCTCGACAAGATCCTAAATTAAGAAAAAATTTTGCCTACAATCTTAAGGAACTATTGGGTAGCTACACTCGTGGATGTCGGAACACAGTCCATGGTTGTTTCGCCTAATCCATGAAAGAATACACTGACGACCAACTAAAAGTTCCAAATTATTTATCAGATCAGGGGAAAACACGGGAGTAGTTAAGGCCATAGGCTAATGGTAAGGCTAGAACCAAGAATTTCTACGAACATATTTGCCCCAGCTTGCAGATAATAATCAGTCGACTAAACCTACCACAAGAATAAAGGCATCACAATGAGTTCGGAGCCACTTAATGCATTACTTCATGCTTGTTCCGATCACAGAGTTTATATATTTACTATCACATCAATCTCCGCAATTTCTAATGTTATCTATATCCATACACAACTCTCACCACGACGCAGCCCCCAGGACACTAGTAAATACAAGTTTCCGGTCAAATTCTCATCGTGACATTTGTTGTATTTCATTTGATGTCAGACATGGTACAAAAAGACGGTCAGCAAACAAATCATAGCGTCTCACTGCAGAGATATACACGGCTGTATTTATGAAATCGAGATTCTTGATATACTGTTGGATTGACCCCATACTTTAGTTCGCTCAGACAGATCCTTATTTGAACTGCAGATATCAAATTAGGTGTGTGGTTCAAATATTTATTACCTACTATGGAAGTCTGAGAGAAGATTTCCGGCACCTCAAGGTGTGTCAAGTATGTGATGACAAATAAGGAACCCCCTGTTTTGTTGTACAGTTGGAGTGTCCTCAAACTCTTCCAAGTGAAAACTTTAATTAGTGGTAGTAAATCACCATATCAGTTCTTGCTACACTAAATTTTGACGGACGAAAACATAGTGTGCAGGGCGGTTTTTCATCACGATTGGTTTCGATTTAGCCTTCGTCGCTCTCAAAACAGTTTGAAACCATATAACCAAGATCCTTCTCTACCTTATTTAGTATATCTTGCAGTTCGTTGCAAACACAATGGAAAGTTGCCGAAAGACTCATTTATAACATAATTCATTGCCAATTACGAAGGTCTTGCAGAGACTGCTACTCAAGTGCTCAAGTTCGGAAGATGGAATAAAGGTCAGATCAAAACATCGTCAACTACCATTGAAAGTCTAGTCGAAAGTGCGGCTAACCCAAAATAAACATTAGAGAACACGAGAAATGCGAAACGTTTATACAGGTCGCAACCGATAAACACAGTTATTTAACGTTAGATATAGGAATTCTGATGGTAACTCTTGTTCAAATCGGCTTCATTTTTCGGAATAAAACCAATTTAAATCAGCAGATTTCGCCTATCCACTTTTCAGCCACCGATTAGACGAAGTAACGAGGTGGTGGACGCAGATCTGGCAACAACTAAAACAGACGTTATTAAGACAAGATTTGTCTGCTTGCTCTAAGAAACCTAGATTGACACTTATAGTCGAATCACCGAATGAGCAAGCAGACGAGGTCACATAGCTAAATTTACAAGAAATGTAGGCTGAATTAGTCGCAAGGTTACAGGATTTTCTGGCTGAATCCTTAAATTTGATCACGAGACAAAAACCAACAGTTTTCTGGTTTCGCACGATCCAAAAGACTAGCATCAATAAACTATACTCATCAAGTAAGGGACTTGATATGATACAGTAAATAGTCATTTCCTTTTCCATTTCCTGTCCATTTGACTCATTCAATCTTGATTTGCATCCATCACTTTAGCTTCTGTAAGACATGGCTCCAGAATATGGACGTAGAAACGTCCCTGGAATTTTCTCAGACTCAAGACGTCCATCTTGAGGAGCGACTGCAGTTAAACGCGACAGTGACAATTACAGCCGATAGAAGCAGCCACTTATTTTGCCTCATTAAAGATATTACACAAGTCTGTTACTTGTACATATAGTTACATTCGAGTTTTCAAGATCATTGAAATGCATATCGTCAACAGATTTACGAACCCGAACCAAAAAATCTAAGGACCAAGTAAGTCCTGCAGCCAAATAGGAACTTCCAAGCACATCAGAATACCCTCCTCCCCAAAATTTATGTCTACTAAACTCAGAAAGCGAAAAAACGAACTAATAGTAAAAATTAAGTCTAAAAATAGAGGTTGAAATTATAAATAAACCAAATTCATCATCTAGGTAAGATGCACAACCAGTGGTTTTATGCATCGCATTACTATCTGAGAACGACGTGCCTTGTTAAAAAGCGATCGACTAGCTTGTAAAAACCTTAGACTGATGAAAAGCGTATTTGACAGTACGCTAGATATTGGAATTATTCGACCCACACAGAGCCCATGAGCATCTGTCAGGGTTCATCTCTCAGTGACAACATTGGTGGCCTCTGAATGTTGATCGCGTTTGATCCTCTTCGAGCACCAGCTACCATTCATTAACGAAGATACTAATTTCCAGGGAATGAAAAGGATTATAGCTCGTAATTCGGAAGAAAACTCGACGCTTATCTTAAGTGTAATTTACGCAAATGCAATGTTGTAGACACTCCATTCCAGTCACGACTTGGTGCTTCATGGTCTGAGCTTCCTTCATTTACAGTGCGATGCTCGCCCGGCCAGGAATATTTACATTTAAATATGCATTCAACATTCAGAAGACTCTGAAATTAGGGTGTCACTGTAAGCATCCGGTATTATCAGCGTAAATTGTACCGCCCTGGTGCAGTTGGCCTGATCCTACATATGGTATGTGTTCGTCCTCTACTAGAATACTGCCCAGTTGCATACGCTCCCTAGACCGGCAAAAAATTGTAAAAGTACAACGACACCTTACAAGACTCCTCACGCTAGAAATATTATGTTGAGCATATGGAGCATGAAAATGAGATCCTTTATGGTAAAGACGAATTAAACTCATCCTTACCTTACTTTTCAAAATGTTCTGTAACAAAACTGCAGTGAATTGTGATATACTAAAATTTGAGGAAAATATTTACTATAACCTTCAAAATCAGGACTTTACGCATAAGATATAGGGAACACCAAGCAAATTAAGATTAACTTTATTTTTCGCACACAAATCAAGCCTCTGGAATAGGTTACCAGTAAACAACCGATCGAATCAAACGCTTGCTTTGTTTAGGATGGCACAAAATCTCATCAGCACCAAGCTGATGTAGGTTCCTTTTTGTTTATTTGACATCAGCCTATTACTTTCACCTACACTTTGCTGACTTACCACTAACGTTTATTCATTACCCATTGTCTTATTTATGACCATTGTGTTCCCAAACTTTTTCACTTACTGTGATTAAAAATTTATCATACCTTGTTTAGATACCCATAATTTATTCCATATTCACCTAAATCATTACATCGATGCCTTACTGACAATTCATAATTTGTAAATGCCTAAAAGGCTTGTAAAATTGTAATTTTAGAAATAATGCTTCCCAACAGGATGTGGAACATAGAGTAACAGATGAGATATAACGTGTCACCCACAAATAAACCTTTAATGAGTCTAACATCACAAAAGGAAGAAGAGTGAACTTAGTGATGGTGAAGGCATTTACTCCAATCCACTCATATTTGTAGAGCGGAACATTTTGTTCGTTTTAGAGGAAGAAGAGACCACTCAGTGCTACTGATATTGTTCGCCTATGCTCACTACTTAGATTCATGTTTCCAGTTTTATATTTATTCCGCTATCCTACTAAGATAAACTATGACATACTTACTCAAAATTTTATATTATTACCTAGTGGTTGGCGTCAGATAAAAAGAAGGATTAAAAAACGGACAATAAGGGCTATAGTTATTAACGTTTCTTAACAGTTTAGTCTTTTTCGATTCACTTTCCATCCTAATAGACAGCCCTCTTTACCATATTTTCGACTCTACCTCTATCATTTGAATCCGATCTACCTTATTGCGTATCACAGCTCATTGTTCTTCACCACTGTGTTCTCTTATCTAAAGGCTCTAGCCATATTTTACTCTGGCAAGAGCAGCTAGCAGCACCTCTATGGAGCTTTGAACGCCGGAAACAAACTTAACGTGCGCGTTCTTTAAAGTCACAGCTCATACCAAGCGCCCTTTATATGTGATTTATAACAATTATAAACTTCTAAAACGCTGTAGAGTATAGATATTTAGCAGTCTCAGAATCCTAATATAATGAAGATGCCACAGATATTTTGAGTTTGACAACGATTTAACCAGTAGCACCTACTATGGATCATACCCACCAAGTGAAATCAAAAGATAGAAGCGAGGAGGTTCGAAGATATATTTGATAGGCTATCAACATATCGAAGATCGACTGA